ACTACCCAGTATGAGACCGATTTCAGTGTGTGGGAGCACGCGGATGCGGGGGTCATTAGAGTTTTCATCACCACCACTCCCGTTGAACTTGTCAAATCCTACCGCACGTTTCGCTCTGCTCATGAGATTTGGAAGCACCTCCAGGACCGTTTCCATGACAAGACCGCAGTGGGAGTTGCAATCCTCATCCCTCGAATGTTCCAGATCCGCCTTGACGAATGCCCGGGCATGGCGGACTACCTTTCAGAAATTCGTAACATCCACGAGGAACTCAAGGACATCGGGGTCAACTTCCCCGAACAAGCACCTGCAGGTGGGCTACTCGTAGGTCTTACCTCGGCCTACAATGTCACCAGTTCCATGCTCAAGCAGCTCCCCACCAAGGAACTCACTTTCGAGAAAGTCGCATCGGCCCTTCTCTCTGCTGAAAAGGACTTTGCGGCACAAGCATCCGTCAATGCTGTGCGCTACACCCCTGGTATCCCATTTCGCTCCCAGCAGGGATCGAGGCGCAACTCGTTTCTCCCATGCCCCTACATCATTAGGATGGGTCCACGTGCAGGGCAGAAATGTGGAGGCACCAACCACCCTGAGGCAACTTGCTTCAAGAAGCGAGATGACGAGTGGTATGACGTCCACAGTGTCTCCACCAACAAGCGTCCTCCCAACTGGGCCCCACCCCGTGAATCAGGTCGAGGCAGTAGAGGAACCTGCTGAGGCACTTGCTAGCGGCCCATCTGATGTTCGCCTCAATCTGTTGTTCTTTGGTACTGGTATTATTAATGAGAAGGGATCGCAGTACATCGGTGTTTCAAACACACAGGGGATCGAGTTCATACTAGACAGTGGTGCCACCCACATAGTGCTCAAAGACCAAACCGCATTCGTTCCCTACCAGGCCCCCAACCCACTCCTTGGAGCAGATTCTAGCTTCTCCATCCAATGTTATGGGTCTTCCACAGTTCTTTGTCCAGCATTCCCATCCGGCACAGTCACTGGCATCTGTGCCCCAACCCTCTGCTACAACCTCCTGGCACAGCGTGAAATCCAACATGCAGGAGTGATCACCATCGTTCCCAATGGTGTCGACTACTGTGATGTTTTTGATGCCAAAACCGGTATTCATCTAGCCCACTTCACCCTCAACTCCAACAATCTCTACACGCTCGTTGTCCCTCCCATTCAAACGTGCTCACTCACCCACCTTCCGCTCCTTTCCTCAGACTCCTCTCCTTGTCACTGCCGTCTCCTTTCCGACAAAACCATGCTCTTCCATCACCGCCTCGGCCACATCAACTTCCGCGCGCTTTCGGACCTTGCCACAAAACAGCTTCTCCACAAACTTCCAGCCTCACTTCCCTCTCCTGCCTCCAACCTCGGGCCGCCTTGCCCTCATTGTGCACAGAGCAAGCTTCATGAACAACCCCATCCCCCCGTTGAGTCCATTTCCACGGCACCTCTTGATCGCGTGCACATGGACCTTTGGGGTCAAGCTCCTGTTCGTTTTTGTGGCGAACATTTCTACTTCCTTCTCATCATTGATGACTATTCCCTCTATGGGTCTGTCCACCTCCTCTTCTCCAAGTCTGAAGCCCCAATCGTCATCATTGAATGGGCCAAGCAAACTCATAAACACTTCAAAACCACCATCAAGTTCCTTCACTCTGACGGTGGCGGTGAATTCCGCAACAACACTCTCAAAGCCTTCTGTTACACTGAGGTATCAGTCAGACCTTCACTCTCCCGGACAGTCCCCAACAGAACGGTGTTGCTGAGAGTCAGAACCGCATCTTAGTGCAGATTGCTCGCTGCCTCCTCACTCACGCCTCCGCCCCTCCCTCTCTTTGGGGGTACGCCATGCTCCACGCTGCCGCCCTCCACAGTCTCCATCCTCACCCTCATCACACCCACACCACCCCCGCTGAGTTGTGGACGGGTCAAAAGCCGTCCGCCAGCCCTCTACGTGTATGGGGGTGCACTTCCTATGTCCTCCTCAACTCCCAAGCCCGTCGTGCAGCTGGCGGCAAGCTTGCTCCCAAAACAATCACGTGTGTATACCTCGGGCACAACTCAGATTCGCCAAAGTATCTCTTTCTCTATCCTTCCACCAACAAACTTTACCGCACCCGGAACGTACTCTTTGATGAGTCTCTCCCTTTCTATCCCTCCTCCAAGGCTTCCCCCTCTCTTCCACCTCCTTCTCTTACTTGGGCTGACTTTGACAAACTTCCTCCTCCCGCCACTCCATCTCCTCCTCTTCCTGCTCCCTCCGCCGTCTCTGACCCGCCACCACCCACTTCCCCCTCCAGCACCAAGCAGTCTCCTCCGCTCCTTCCTTCCCCCTCCCCTCCCCAATTTGCTCCCCCACTCGCCCCCCATCCTTCCTCTCCTCCCGCTCTCGCTCCTCATCTAGAGGAAATCTATATGGAGGGGCCCGAAGGATTTCCAGCTTCTTTTCCACCAGACATTGTATGGAAGCTGAATCAGCCAGTGTGTGGCCTTCAAGCAAGCAGAGGACTGACAAAGACTGTCGGGAATGAAGCCCGTGAGAGAATTATTGAAGAGATTCATGTGTGGGTGAGTGAGTTGGACGTGACGAGACGAGAGGCTCAAATCCTTGTTTACGGACTTTGGCCGGCTGGAACTTACCACTAGGATTGATGAGCTCGGAAGGCCTATAGCAAGGCAAGCAAATGCAGAGGACTGACAAAGACTGTACAGATTAAGATTGCGTAGTGACAGTTATGAGTTTTGCCGTCGTAGTAAAACAGGTGTACTGGGTTTTGAGGTTTAGGAACCAAGGCATAAGAACGAATTGCTACAAGAGGGAGGAACACGGCGTGGTGAAGCGATGCAGACAGCAGAGGTGGGAAGGAGTGGGCGTGCAGAGTGCATGGGCAGAGGAGGAGTGCCAGCAGTGATGCGCACATGGCATGCTGCTCAGTGGACAGAGCAGCACGCAGGTGGAGCAAACCCAGTGTGCCTCTTACAGCCGTTGGAGGTTCCTGAGCGCAGAGATGCTGTCGGGAATGGAGCCCGTGAGAGAATTAGTGCTGAGATCCCTGTGTGGGTGAGTGAGTTAGGCGAGAGGCTCAAATCCTTGTTTACGGACTTTGGCCGGCTGGAACTTACTACTAGGATTGATGAGCTCGGAAGGCCTATAGCAAGGCAAGCAAATGCAGAGGACTGACAAAGACTGTACAGATTAAGATTGCGTAGTGACAGTTATGAGCTCTGCCGTGGTAGTAAAACAGGTGTACTGGGTTTTGAGGTTTAGGAACCAAGGCATAAGAACGAATTACTACAACAAGAGGGAGGAACACGGCGTGGTGAAGCGATGCAGACAGCAGAGGTGGGAAGGAGTGGGCGTGCAGAGTGCATGGGCAGAGGAGGAGTGCCAGCAGTGATGCGCACATGGCATGCAGCACCCAGTGGACAGAGCAGCATGCAGGTGGAGCAAACCCAGTGCGCCTCTTACAGAGATCCAAGTGCCGCGAGCGCAGAGATGCTGTCGGGAATGGAGCTCGTGAGAGAATTAGTGCTGAGATCCCTGTGTGGGTGAGTGAGTTAGGCGAGAGGCTCAAATCCTTGTTTACGGACTTTGGCCGGCTGGAACTTACTACTAGGATTGATGAGCTCGGAAGGCCTATAGCAAGGCAAGCAAATGCAGAGGACTGACAAAGAATGTACAGATTAAGATTGCGTAGTGACAGATATGAGCTCTGCCATGGTAGTAAAACAGGTGTACTGGGTTTTGAGGTTTAGGAACCAAGGCATAAGAACGAATTACTACAACAAGAGGGAGGAACACGGCGTGGTGAAGAGATGCAGACAGCAGAGGTGGGAAGGAGTGGGCGTGCAGAGTGCATGGGCAGAGGAGGAGTGCCAGCAGTGATGCGCACATGGCATGCAGCACCCAGTGGACAGAGCAGCATGCAGGTGGAGCAAACCCAGTGTGCCTCTTACAGCCATTGGAGGTTCGTGAGCGCAGAGATGCTGTCGGGAATGGAGCCCGTGAGAGAATTAGCGTTGAGATTCCTGTGTGGGTGAGTGAGTTGGACGTGACGAGACGAGAGGCTCAAATCCTTGTTTACGGACTTAGGCCGACTGGAACTTACTACTAGGATTGATGAGCTCGGAAGGCCTATAGCAAGGCAAGCAAATGTAGAGGACTGACAAAGACTGTACAGATTAAGATTGCGTAGTGATAGTTATGAGTTTTGCCGAGGTAGTAAAACAGGTGTACTGGGTTTTGAGGTTTAGGAACCAAGGCATAAGGACGAATTACTACAACAAGAGGGAGGAACACGGTGTGGTGAAGAGATGCAGACAGCAGAGGTGGGAAGGAGTGGGCGTGCAGAGTGCATGGGCAGAGGAGGAGTGCCAGCAGTGATGCGCACATGGCATGCAGCACCCAGTGGACAGAGCAGCATGCAGGTGGAGCAAACCCAGTGTACCTCTTACAGCCATTGGAGGTTCGTGAGCGCAGAGATGCTGTCGGGAATGGAGCCCGTGAGAGAATTAGCGTTGAGATTCCTGTGTGGGTGAGTGAGTTGGACGTGACAAGACGAGAGTAGGCATGATCATTAGGCCCGACCCGACCCGACCCGACCCGACTTGGGCGGGCCAGCCGGGTTTCGGGTCGGGTCGGGTCGGGTCGGAACTTCTAGGAATCCTGGCCCGACCCGGGTATCGGGTGCCGGGTCAGGCTTGACCCGCCCCCGGGTCGGGTCGGGTAGGGGCCGGGTCGGGTCGGGTCGGGCCAGAACCCCATATGCAGTGTGTAGGGGTTTCCTCGCTACTGTCCAGTGTTGCAAAGACTGAATGTTTGTGTAATATATTATTATATGAACGTCCTCCCTTCTGTAAATTAACTATTCAAAGTTGCGTAAACTGTTACACGTGTTTGGAAAAAACCTACAAAGGCCTAAAAGCTAACGGAGTCAACTAGTAGTTCGACGCACAGGAATAAGAACCAATCAAGTTTTGGTCCGATCACGTTATCTGATGAAGTTAAGGGCATGAGCATCAATTACGAACAAATATCACAACCCCATCGATTCATCCTCCACTCCCAGGGTGGGATTGGCCGTTGAGGTGCCCTTGGGAGCGAGAGTCCCCGAAGGGTGGTGGTCCTGCCACGTCTTAATCAGCATGGAAGCACGCACTTGGCCAGCTGCCAGTCGGTGTCGCTGCCAAGTAATGATGTTCCTGCTCTGTGAGAATGCGCGCTCACTCGCTGCTGACGAAGCCGGTACCCCCAGATAATCTTTAGCCATCGCCCTCAAGCCCTTCAGTGTCTCCCTGCTGCGCCAATACTCCAATGCGCTTCCACCCCTCTGCCTCCCCTCTGCCAGGTACTGATCCACCTCATCCTGTAGATCCTCCCCCTCTTCGGCCTCCATGGCGTCCCACGCAGCGAACAACTGAGACTGGATGCTGACATTTGCCGATGCATCCACAGCCCCACCCCCTGCCGACGCATGCACCCCTGCACCCCTCGCACTAGTCACCTCCCCACCATCTCGCAGCGCCGTGGTGCTGGCTGCCTGGTACTCTAGAAGGCGCGCTCGTACCAGGGCCTTCACCCTATCAGGTCCTAGCTCCAGTGTTGTCCCTCTCGAATTCCCCTCTGCTGCCCTGGCTCGGTGCTTGAAGGGCGCGAGCTTCTGGCGCGGGTCCAAGAAAGTGGCTATCGCTGCCTCCTCGCTCACACCCCCCATGTGTCGCTCCAGCTTGCTCAGAGCAGCAGTGATCAGCGATGAGCGCAGAGGGGAGATGCCAGGAGTGCGCTGTGCCTTCTCCTGCAGATCAATCAGCGCGTTGTACTGCGGTACAACGGCTGAGAGGGTAGGGTACAGGGAACCCTCGGCGAAGAGGGTGACTTGCTCGAATGGGGTGAGGAAGTCTCGGAGCTCGGCGAGGTCGTCCCAGTGCGCATCCGTCAACCTGATGGCGTCCCACGCCTTCTTAGTCTCCTTGCTGATGGATGACTGGTATGGGTCACATGGGTTGTAAAGATGGAGGCACAGCATGGGATTGTGGCACATGCATGGGATGGTGGCACATGCATGGGATGGTGGGACATGCATGCATGGGATGGTGGGACATGCATGCATGGGATGGTGGCACATGCATGGGATGGTGGCACATGCATGGGATGGTGGGACATGCATGCATGGGATGGTGGGACATGCATGCATGGGATGGTGGCACATTCATGGGATTGTGGCACATGCATGGGATGGTGGCACATGCACGCATGGGATGGTGGCACATGCATGGGATTGTGGCACATGCATGGGATGGTGGGACATGCATGCATGGGATGGTGGGACATGCATGCATGGGATGGTGGCACATGCATGGGATTGTGGCATATGCATGGGATGGTGGCACATGCACGCATGGGATGGTGGCACATGCATGGGATGGTGGCACATGCATGGGATGGTGGGACATGCATGCATGGGATGGTGGGACATGCATGCATGGGATGGTGGCACATGCATGGGATTGTGGCACATGCATGGGATGGTGGCACATGCACGCATGGGATGGTGGCACATGCATGGGATGGTGGCACATGCATGGGATTGTGGCACATGCATGCATGGGATGGTGGCACATGCATGGGATGGTGGGACATGCATGCATGGGATGGTGGCACATGCATGGGATTGTGGCACATGCATGCATGGGATGGTGGCACATGCATGGGATGGTGGCACTATTCAAGCCATGCCCACGTACCCCCATTCGCCATAGTCACAAGCGAATGTGAATCCAACCATACGTACATCTGAATCGTCGAAAAACATGGCAATGGGCATGCGCAGCTCGAAGCCCCTGTTCACCATGTGGAGTGTAGAACCCCATCTCGTCACGCAGTCCACGATCAAACGCAACGGACCCGATGGTCGCCGAGAACCGGGAGGACCCTGGGGCCGGGTCGCCGCGTATCCCTTTTGGAGCTCGAAGAAACGATCTGTGCGCAGTGTGGACCAGCCGATGTAGTTCGCCACGTCTCGCAGCCTCTTGAGTGGCTCGGCCACCTCGTCAACCTTCAGTGCAGCTTGCACTGCAAGGTTGACGACGTGCGCCATGCACCTGTTGGGGCAATGCATTGTGCACAACCTTAATGTCACTGTACCACATGAGCACTTCCATAACAAACATGGTGGACTACGCCAACAATTTATAGCATACCCTTACGGAGACAGCCCCATAGTACCTGAAGTGCCTCCAGCGACTGAGCAGTGGTGGGTGCCTGGGCCGTGAGCCCGGCCTGGCGTCAGGTACACCGGCCAGCAGACGCATCGCCCTGCTGTTGTTCTCGGCGTTGTCACACGTCACGGCGAACAGCATCTTCTCCAAGCCCCACTCCCTCAACACCTCCTCCAGCTCATCGGCTATCAAGTCCCCCGTATGAGAGCCCTTAAGCTCCCTGAAGTCTATAACAGCCTGTTTTAGCTGGAAATCGCTGGTGACATAGTGGGCAGTCACCCCCATGAAGGCCACGTTGTTCTCACCGGTCCAGATGTCAAAGGTGAGGGACATCCTTCCCGCCAGGCCATCACCCACCAGTAGCTGCCGCATGTCCTCCCGAGCAGCCTCCCCGTATGCCTGCATGTCCCGTGCCAAGCGATGGCGTGAGCCGAGCAGTAGCGCAGCTCCCGGGTTCAGCATCTGGACAAATGCTTTGAACTGTAACGCAGGAGTCAAAGGATGTCGGTAAAAGGATTATGAAGATGCTTCGGGATTAGCCAACAGAATGCAGTGCGGCTGCCCTGTACGAATATGACCACCTCAATACGAAGATGAACATGACCAACGGCAAGAGAACGGCGTCACTCACCTCGCGACACTCAACAAGTCGAAACAGAAGGTCAGCTGCCGCAAATAGCAGCACCAATCCCTCGCGCAGCTGCTGGCCATGAACACGCGGCGTGACGAATGCGGCCATGCTCATCTGCCTACTCCCACCAGCCTCGGATCCGCCAGTCACAGCGCTGTCTGGTGTCTGTACAATCCTGGGCCACGTGGCTGCATGCTCCTAAGGCCACGCTGTCTGGTCGGGGACATCCGGACCCCATCCCCCATCGGGAAACGTCAGGTTGTCTGGCTTGTTTGGATCCTTGAAACGCCGACACCAGATCTGCAGACTGGGGTAGTGGCTCCTCTTAAGGTGTCTCTTCCCCGTGCTCGTGCAACTACCTATCCAGCTAATCTTCTTCTTGCAAATCTTGCAATTCCTAGCCTCGTTCACATCCTTCTCACTGAACATGCCACGAACCAGGCCGGGTTCTGCATTCCTAAGCACCTCCTCAGTCCATGGGTCCAGCTCCTCGTCGATAGGGGTCCTGCCCGCCCTGTCGGACCTCTGGCTTGCAATCACAGCAGCAGCTCCAGCCCCCGTAGACCCACCCAAAGGTGCACCACCTGCCGCAGCGGCGGAGGTACCTGCCCCTGCTGCGCCCGACCCCTCAGAACCACCCGCGGCTGCCCCCTGCGGCTGCGAATTCGACGCCGGCCCGGCCCCTCCAGCTCCCGACCCCACAGGCCCACTCGGGCATGGCCTCTTTGCTGCTGCACCGCTGCCACGCGCGCCACTGCCACCAGCCTGGCCCGCTCCTCTCCCTCCCCAACCCTCATCACCCGATCCTCCACTCGTGCCGGCCGCCTCCCCCGGAGCCGGCCTCCAATCCGGGTCCTTCTCCTTTCCCCGTGTTCCTTGCTCCTCCGTCACCGGGCCAGGTCCTAGAGACTCCCATTCCCGCACCTCTTCACGCCTCCTCGTCGCGATTGCATCGTCCCACCCAATTTCCTGCCCATTGAAGACGCTCCCCAAGCGAAAACTGGCCCTGGAGGCCGGTGTCGGGAGGCCTCCAAGTGAAGCCCCAGGAATAGCCCGTGAGCTGTCTTCTTCCCCCTCCATTCGCGTGCAAGCGGCGTCGATTACGTTTCGGACCTTGGAGTCGCGACGTTTTTGTAATGGCGCAGGCCTAGACAATTGGGGGTCGCGTCCCTAAAGATGCGGGCGTGGTAGGCGCGAAGTGGGCAATTTGAACGCGGGGCCAGAGTTTAGTCATGTGTGAGAGCTTGGAATAAGTAAGTCTATAAAATCGAAAATCTGTGGTTGGTCACGCTAGGCTAAGAACTCCATTCCGCCAACATTGAACCACATGAAATAGGGTTCCTAAACATGGGCGCTGGTTTAGAGAGTTATAGAGGTTAAGAACGAGCTAGGTTAGAGAGTGCTAGCTGCCTAGGTATAGCAGATCGAAGTCAATGTCGAGGGAAAAAAAAAACCCTAGACATTGACTTGGCGATCTGCTTTACTTCGAATTGTCGAGGGAGGGAAACTCGGGTCGGGCCAAATGCCCGACCCGACTTAGGGCGCGGTACCCGATTTCGAGTCGGGTCAAATTTCGGGTCAAAAACTGACCCGACCCGACCCGACCCGGTTTCGGGTGTCGGGTCGGCCCGACCCGGCCGGGTAAACCCGACCCGACCCGCCCGGGTCAACGCTTCAAAATGTCTGGCCCGACCCGGGTCAAAACCCGGGTCGGGTCGGGTCGGCCCGACCCGCCGGGGCAGGATGATCATGCCTAGACGAGAGGCTCAAATCCTTGTTTACGGACTTTGGCCGGCTGGAACTTACTACTAGGATTGATGAGCTCGGAAGGCCTATAGCAAGGCAAGCAAATGCAGAGGACTGACAAAGACTGTACAGATTAAGATTGCGTAGTGACAGTTATGAGTTTTGCCGTCGTAGTAAAACAGGTGTACTGGGTTTTGAAGTTTAGGAACCAAGGCATAAGAATGAATTACTACAAGAGGGAGGAACACGGCGTGGTGAAGCGATGCAGACAGCAGAGGTGGGAAGGAGTGGGCGTGCAGAGTGCATGGGCAGAGGAGGAGTGCCAGCAGTGATGCGCACATGGCATGCAGCACCCAGTGGACAGAGCAGCATGCAGGTGGAGCAAACCCAGTGCGCCTCTTACAGATATACAAGTGCCGTGAGCGCAGAGATGCTGTCGGGAATGGAGCTCGTGAGAGAATTAGTGCTGAGATCCCTGTGTGGGTGAGTGAGTTAGGCGAGAGGCTCAAATCCTTGTTTACGGACTTTGGCCGGCTGGAACTTACTACTAGGATTGATGAGCTCGGAAGGCCTATAGCAAGGCAAGCAAATGCAGAGGACTGACAAAGACTGTACAGATTAAGATTGCGTAGTGACAGATATCAGCTCTGCCGTGGTAGTAAAACAGGTGTACTGGGATTTGAGGTTTAGGAACCAATGCATAAGAACGAATTACTACAACAAGAGGGAGGAACATGGCGTTGTGAAGAGATGCAGACAGCAGAGGTGGGAAGGAGTGGGCGTGCAGAGTGCATGGGCAGAGGAGGAGTGCCAGCAGTGATGCGCACATGGCATGCAGCACCCAGTGGACATAGCAGCATGCAGGTGGAGCAAACCCAGTGTGCCTCTTACAGCCATTGGAGGTTCGTGAACGCAGAGATGCTGTCGGGAATGGAGCTCGTGAGAGAATTAGTGCTCAGATTCCTGTGTGGGTGAGTGAGTAGGACGTGACGAGACGAGAGGCTCAAATCCTTGTTTACGGACTTTGGCCGGCTGGAACTTACTACTAGGATTGATGAGCTCGGAAGGCCTATAGCAAGGCAAGCAAATGCAGAGGGCTGACAAAGACTGTACAGATTAAGATTGCGTAGTGATAGTTATGAGTTTTGCCGAGGTAGTAAAACAGGTGTACTGGGTTTTGAGGTTTAGGAACCAAGGCATAAGGACGAATTACTACAACAAGAGGGAGGAACACGGTGTGGTGAAGAGATGCAGACAGCAGAGGTGGGAAGGAGTGGGCGTGCAGAGTGCATGGGCAGAGGAGGAGTGCCAGCAGTGATGCGCACATGGCATGCAGCACCCAGTGGACAGAGCAGCATGCAGGTGGAGCAAACCCAGTGTGCCTCTTACAGCCATTGGAGGTTCGTGAGCGCAGAGATGCTGTCGGGAATGGAGCCCGTGAGAGAATTAGTGCTGAGATTCCTGTGTGGGTGAGTGAGTTGGACGTGACGAGACGAGAGGCTCAAATCCTTGTTTACGGACTTTGGCCGGCTGGAACTTACTACTAGGATTGATGAGCTCGGAAGGCCTATAGCAAGGCAAGCAAATGCAGAGGACTGACAAAGACTGTACAGATTAAGATTGCGTAGTGACAGTTATGAGTTTTGCCGTCGTAGTAAAACAGGTGTACTGGGTTTTGAGGTTTAGGAACCAAGGCATAAGAACGAATTACTACAAGAGGGAGGAACACGGCGTGGTGAAGCGATGCAGACAGCAGAGGTGGGAAGGAGTGGGCGTGCAGAGTGCATGGGCAGAGGAGGAGTGCCAGCAGTGATGCGCACATGGCATGCAGCACCCAGTGGACAGAGCAGCATGCAGGTGGAGCAAACCCAGTGCGCCTCTTACAGGTCAACAAGTTCCGTGAGCGCAGAGATGTTGTCGGGAATGGAGCTCGTGAGAGAATTATTGTCGAGATCCCTGTGTGGGTGAGTGAGTTAGGCGAGAGGCTCAAATCCTTGTTTACGGACTTTGGCCGGCTGGAACTTACTACTAGGATTGATGAGCTCGGAAGGCCTATAGCAAGGCAAGAAAATGCAGAGGACTGACAAAGACTGTACAGATTAAGATTGCGTAGTGACAGTTATGAGTTTTGCCGTCGTAGTAAAACAGGTGTACTGGGTTTTGAGGTTTAGGAAACAAGGCATAAGAACGAATTACTACAAGAGGGAGGAACACGGCGTGGTGAAGCGATGCAGACAGCAGAGGTGGGAAGGAGTGGGCGTGCAGAGTGCATGGGCAGAGGAGTGCCAGCAGTGATGCGCACATGGCATGCAGCACCCAGTGGACAGAGCAGCATGCAGGTGGAGCAAACCCAGTGCGCCTCTTACAGAGATAAAAGTGCCGTGAGCGCAGAGATGCTGTCGGGAATGGAGCTCGTGAGAGAATTAGTGCTGAGATCCCTGTGTGGGTGAGTGAGTTAGGCGAGAGGCTCAAATCCTTGTTTACGGACTTTGGCCGGCTGGACCTTACTACTAGGATTGATGAGCTCGGAAGGCCTATAGCAAGGCAAGCAAATGCAGAGGACTGACAAAGACTGTACAGATTAAGATTGCGTAGTGACAGTTATGAGTTGTGGTAGTAAAACAGGTGAACTGGTTTTGAGGTTTAGGAACCCAGACATAAGAACGAATTACTACAACAAGAGGGAGGAACACGGCGTGGTGAAGCAATGCAGACAGCAGAGGTGGGAAGGAGTGGGCGTGCAGAGTGCATGGGCAGAGGAGGAGTGCCAGCAGTGATGCGCACATGGCATGCAGCACCCAGTGGACAGAGCAGCACGCAGGTGGAGCAAACCCAGTGTGCCTCTTACACGTCATGGACGTTCGTGAGCGAAGAGATGCTGTCGGGAATGGAGCCCGTGAGAGAATTAGTGGCAAGATACCTGTGTGGGTGAGTGAGTTAGGCGAGAGGCTCAAATCCTTGTTTACGGACTTTGGCCGGCTGGAACTTACTACTAGGATTGATGAGCTCGGAAGGCCTATAGCAAGGCAAGCAAATGCAGAGGACTGACAAAGACTGTACAGATTAAGATTGCGTAGTGATAGTTATGAGTTTTGCCGAGGTAGTTAAACAGGTGTACTGGGTTTTGAGGTTTAGGAACCAAGGCATAAGGACGAATTACTACAACAAGAGGGAGGAACACGGTGTGGTGAAGAGATGTAGACAGCAGAGGTGGGAAGGAGTGGGCGTGCAGAGTGCATGGGCAGAGGAGTGCCAGCAGTGATGCGCACATGGCATGCAGCACCCAGTGGACAGAGCAGCATGCAGGTGGAGCAAACCCAGTGTGCCTCTTACAGCCATTGGAGGTTCGTGAGCGCAGAGATGCTGTCGGGAATGGAGCTCGTGAGAGAATTAGCGTTGAGATTCCTGTGTGGGTGAGTGAGTTGGACGTGACGAGACGAGAGGCTCAAATCCTTGTTTACGGACTTTGGCCGACTGGAACTTACTACTAGGATTGATGAGCTCGGAAGGCCTATAGCAAGGCAAGCAAATGCAGAGGACTGACAAAGACTGTACAGATTAAGATTGCGTAGTGACAGTTATGAGTTTTGCCGTCGTAGTAAAACAGGTGTACTGGGTTTTGGAGGTTTAGGAACCAAGGCATAAGAACGAATTACTACAAGAGGGAGGAACACGGCGTGGTGAAGCGATGCAGACAGCAGAGGTGGGAAGGAGTGGGCGTGCAGAGTGCATGGGCAGAGGAGGAGTGCCAGCAGTGATGCGCACATGGCATGCAGCACCCAGTGGACAGAGCAGCATGCAGGTGGAGCAAACCCAGTGCGCCTCTTACAGATATACAAGTGCCGTGAGCGCAGAGATGCTGTCGGGAATGGAGCTCGTGAGAGAATTAGTGCTGAGATCCCTGTGTGGGTGAGTGAGTTAGGCGAGAGGCTCAAATCCTTGTTTACGGACTTTGGCCGGCTGGAACTTACTACTAGGATTGATGAGCTCGGAAGGCCTATAGCAAGGCAAGCAAATGCAGAGGACTGACAAAGACTGTACAGATTAAGATTGCGTAGTGACAGTTATGAGTTGTGCCCGTAGTAAAACAGGTGAACTGGGTTTTGAGGTTTAGGAACCAAGACATAAGAACGAATTACTACAACAAGAGGGAGGAACACGGCGTGGTGAAGCAATGCAGACAGCAGAGGTGGGAAGGAGTGGGCGTGCAGAGTACATGGGAAGAGGAGGAGTGCCAGCAGTGATGCGCACATGGCATGCAGCACCCAGTGGACAGAGCAGCGCGCAGGTGGAGCAAACCCAGTGTTTTTCTTACAGATATGTGAGTGCCACAA